GTTCTCCTTCTCCTTCTCTGCCTCATACCCCCTTCAATTCACCCTTCCTCTCTCTCTCTTTCACGAACTTGTAGCACTCGCTCCCTCCTCTCACTGCTGGCCACCAACCACTATACCTTCCGCCAGGGGCCAACTTGGTGCCATGGGCCCGCTGTCGGTGGTAATGAAGTCAAGAGATAATAATAGTGAGGGGAATGGCTCCGCCAGTCGCAATTTTCTTGGGCCGAGGGAGTGACCACCGGGAGGATGAAGACGACCATCGACCCCCAGCTGACACCCCATGTACCACCCATATCTTGATGGCGAGTAGGAGTTGCGTGCAGTCGGTCTCCGTTGTACATGAGACTGAATCTGTTACTAGTGTATGGGCAAATTCATCGCCCCTTTTCCTGGGTACAGCTCAGGACCGCCGTACCACCAAGAATGAACCCCCAACCCAAAAACTAACTACACAGTTATGTTCGCAATGATCGGCAACCCCAAAGTAACCTCTCCCCACACCCATTTCCTTCGAGAATCGGGTGGGATATCTGTTTTCTACCCCCACTGTAGCTTACTCCTTGATACCCCCGCGCACCCCTTTTCCTCACTAATCCCCTCTCTATTGATTTAATGCAAACCTGACAGTTCTACTAAACTCGCCTCTCCAAACAACCCAACCTACCACCCTCACTCCCTCGTTTCTGTTAAGAAACGAGCAGGGTATGGCTATTCGCCCCTGCCATAGTCCTTGCTCCGCTGCGTTCTCCCCCCTTACCTGTAGATGTATCTGGCGCGAAGTCGCGGCCAGGTGCATCCGCCTTAAAATAGCCCGTTAAACAAGACAGGCCGCACACTACTACTGCCGCGCTCCTCAACTTCTCTGTTACCTTCCACCACGCAACTCCCGCTTCCCTCTTTCTCTAACTTCTCCGGCTCTCCCCGATCCCCTTGCGCAACCCGTCTCCTTACTACCCCCTGGCCTGCCGACTTACCGACCGAGCCGTACTCGCCTTCTAACTCACAACCCAGGGGTCCTCTCCTTTCCCCGCCTCTCTCACTTGAAGTTCCTGGCCATGCCTCCTTCGTCTTTGTCGGAGCTACCTCTTGTCTTCGCCATCTTCGCCTCTTCTTTCCAACGCACTTGGCCCGGAGTCGCGTCCGGGTTCACCCCACCGGCTCGCCCTTTTCTCTGGTCCTCTGTCCTAACTCCGGCCTTTCATCTCCTTGTGTCTCTCCTCCTCCTCGCTTTGTCCTCCTTGACTAGTGCTCTCCCCCGCTACTCTCACCATCTCCAGCCTTAATGCACCTGGCGCGACTTAGCGTCCAGGTTCGTCCCACTGTTGCTGCTCTCTACACTAACCCCGCGCAGCGTTTGTCCACTCTATTCCGACCAAGACTTGGGCTCGTCAGCCCTCAAACCCCCGCGCAGACCCCTTCTTTGCCTAGTTCTACCATGAATCGGGCAGGCCATCCACCTTTCCTCCCCGCCATCTCCGTTTCTCCCCGCTACCGCGTTCTTTTCTACCCGCATGCACCCTGTGCCACTTCTCGTTCGAATTCGTCCCGTTCGTTGCTCTGCTTTACGCGTCCTCCAACACTTACTACGGCCGACCTCTCCTTCCCGACATCATGAGTCTGATACGGGAGCTAGATGCTAACCAAGTCCACTAGCCCCTACCTCTGCACTTTTATACTGGTCACGCTCACGAAGGAGCCAAGCTACTCTGTCTGTATCGTTCCAATTTCAACGGATGTTCCGAAGGACTGAAGAGAACTCCCACGATGGGCCTGCATTGGCTCAGATCCGTGGCCAGATCTGCATTTCAATCGTTCGAGGGTGTGCCCACTGAGCTAGGCTCTTGGGTCTCGGCCGGTCCGGGAGACCGGTGCCGGACCGCACCCCAAAATGGGATAAAAATAAGGAATAAGAGATAAAAAAAAATAATTAAAAAATATATATATATTTAAAAAAAAAACAAGTAAACTCAGAAAAAAAAAAAAAAAACAGATAGGAGAGGGGAACAGTTGGCACCCGGTCCTCGGCCCTGCCTCGCGGGCCCGCGGTCGGATCCACCCACAGCAAAACTAAGGGGGATAGTCCCGTGAGACCCTCAACCCCTCAGTTTTCTCCATGAAGCGCTCCTCCGCTCCCGCAATGCTGGCTGCTGGCCTCGATCCCGGGATCCGCCTGGGGGAAATTCAGTGACGTAACCTGTAGGGCTAAGCCCAAGCTTGAGTTGGTCATGCGCTGCCCTGCATATGAATGGTATGGCCAGCCAGCCCGGGCCTGCAAACGGTACCTCAGGCCGTTTTTCTAACTTACGGCCTACGTCCATCGCTCCGTAAGGCCGCACTCGGCTATCTTGGGGCAAGGCTACGCTTGGTCCACTACGCACGCCTGCTCCGCTACGGTACGGCTGCGGATCGTGCCTCTCATAGTTGCCACGAACGCCCTTTTACCGCCCCTTTGATAACCCCGACTTCTGTTATATTCCATGCCATCCTTACCTAGCTCCAGCGACGACTCCTACTATTAACGGCGCCTGGCCAACCAAGTGCCCGCATAATTTCACATGGCGCAAGCCTGAAACGTCAACCTTTAGTAAATCAAACAACCCCGTCTCTAGTCACAACCTTACCAAGTCGACGCGACGCTGCCTGTAACTTCGCCCGTGCGTGCGAGGCTGCGACCGCCTCAGAAAATCTAGCCTGACACTTACTTGTCCTACCGGCGTCTCATAGTCTTCCTTGATCAATCGCTTGGTCCGGCTAACGCGTGCCCGCAAAGTGCACGCTCACACACTCTGTAATCAACACAAATGGGACGCGCCCCTAGATATCGCCAGGCGCGTTCTTCCTGTAAATTGCAAATATGTGCCCAAATACCCTTGTAAGGGTGTTCGGACCGACAGTTTTTTAGACCTTATTAAGCGACGTCCCCGTCGCGTCGGACAATCAAAGCTACAAACACAACCACATTTGCTGACGAGGAAGTAACCATTCCAACTCACCAGCTCGATTCCATTCGAGGTTGTTTTATCAACCTGCTCCCGTCACGGCGTTCCTCTGCCAGGGTTTCAACCTGGATCTCCCACATCCTGGCCTCGGTAGGGGATACTTTGTTCCGTACTACAGCATACTACCCGCTCCCAGGTAGTAGGTTGATAGTCCTCTCCCTTCGTCATAGACATCTGTCGGTTCACCGTTGGGTGTCCTATTTAGTCATCGTCCTGCGTACGGGGTCGTAACTTAGGACGCGGGCCCTAACCGAGACCTCTAAAAATACGGGGCACCTTTAGTCCCCAAATGGTAATGCTTACCATCTCGAATATCCAACCATAACGAACGCTCATCCTGGAGTCTAACACAGATGGCTTCAGGTCTCTTTCTTGGCCCGCCATGGAACGGTCGATCACGTCGAATCCACGGCCCATCACGTTGTTATGTAGCGATGGTGCCCTCGTTGGTTACGCAACGGTAAGTAACTCTTCCTATCTTGGTACCCCGGAGGGTCCCGACTTTAGACCTAATCTACCCCAATGACTTTCCCTCTAACTAAACCTCTCTGGGTGGCCGGCCCCTCAAGACTTAACCTTTGATAAGCCATGGTCTCGCTGCCAGGTTGCGCCGGTCAGCGGCCCTCGCTGGGAGTTAGGTTCTACAGTTTCAGCGGTGCTAAGTATAGCCCCTTAGCCTGGCCTCACAAAATATGTCCCTGAGACTGACTCTATTGTGGTCTGGCATTTCCTTCAAAAACTTTCAGAACAACCAAAGGGTCACATACCAACTGCCCACGGGACTACGTGGCGGGATAGTGCCTTTCTCAACCATTCCAACCAATTCCTCAATAATTCCACAGGGTCGTACCTCCCTTACTTCGATCAAGAGTAGGTGACGTCACACGTCTTTTTAGGGACATCTCTCGAAATACTTTCCAAGGTTCCATCATAATTGCCATAATTTTTCATCTAATATTATCACAAAATATTTGGCCTTTCCTCGTCAGATTTTACATACACACACAAATTTATCATCACTATAGCAACTCCTTTGAGTGCTTTCACAAATTTCATCCTTTTAAGAAAGTCCAATCGGCCATTGGGTTTTCTTCTCTCTTTTTCGAGTCACACAGAAGAAACAACTTTAGTTGTGACCTTTCCGTTCATCATCATCCCATCTGGACAAAACACATCATGTCATCTCTTTCTCAAAATCTGAGAGCACTTTCTCCTATTGTACTTTGGGCTCCACTTGTCACTAGGACAGGGATGCGCAAGTACAGCGGAAGAAAGCGCAGATCAGTTCACTTCACAACATTCACTCCATCACACCATCATCCATATGGGCAAGTCCACACTGAGAGTGAGTGTGACACACCATAAAAAAAAAAAAAAAAAAAAAAAAAAAAAAAAAAAAATGAAAAAAAAAAAAAAAAAAAAAAAAACGGGAAAACAGTTGAAGTCGTGAGAGAGAGAGAGAGAGAGAGAGAGAGAGACGACCCATCCCCCACCAATCATTCAATCAATCAATCAATCAATCAATCTATCAATCAATCAAAAAAAAAAAAAAAAAAAAAAAAAAAAAGGTTTGAGACTCACATATACACACAGGATAAGGGGCCCTGCAATGAGCAAAGGCTCCCGTCCTTATCAGAAAACTCAAGTATCGTACAAAGAGTTCAAGTATCCAACCAGAAATCACAGTATCCAGCAAAGAATCAAGGTATTCAAGCGTCAAGGTATCAAAATCGATAGTCACCCCATACTCCTGAGCGTCACTCTGCTCTAGACGATAATGAACCATAACTTTACACTAAGGTATTAACACTTCATGCCACACTAGTGAAAAAGGGAAAAATAGTCAGACTCATACATAGTGTCATCTTATTTACAAAAAGTCTATAGCGCGAGAGTAGAAATCTCTCTACTGGCTCAACTTGCTCATGTACATGGGTCTGATCCAATCCTCCATGTATCATCCTATATACAAGTAACCATCAGTCAGCGAGTCAGAGATGCCTTCCGTATACTAGACTCAGACCTTTCCGAACCTTATTAAAAGAATCCTACTCCTGATCACTCATGATCTCCTGCAGTTGCCTATACAACTGCGGCCTCACCCCATCACGAGTCTTAGGAACCAGAATTTCATTTTTATCTCTCCACACTCCAGATGACTCTCTGGTAACCAACCCATTTGCCTCATCCTTAAGGCTCTTGGGGCAGTCATCAGATCGATATTTGCCCTTCTTGCAGTAAAAGCATTTGCCAATCTTCTTCTGAGACATCTTGTCTCCTTCCTGCGAGGGTACTGATGACGGGACTGTCGAGATCTTACTCGTGACCTCCTGTTGTGGGACCTCTAGGGAAGTGGGGCATGGCGCTCTGTCCTCTGCTTGCATCACCTGCCCGCCGACACGTCCCTCTGGCCCCGAACCAGTGGCCCAAAATCCCAAAGCGTCCCGCAACCCTGCCACAAGAGGTAGATCCTGAGGTAAAGCCGATCCCTGACGTCCCTTCAAGTCCACCCTCGACTCAGTTTCAACCATGGTCTGGCTCACGCTCTCCTGACCGTCCTGTTGCCCCATGGTCTCTCCCTGGGCTATAGGTAGGACTACTTCAACTCCTATGGCCTTTGTTGGTGACCTCCCTTCTGGCATCGCCGGCTCTTGCCCAAGTGTCAGGCCAACCGGCATCCTCCACTCAAAGCCTCCGACCTCTGAGTCCCTCTCAGTCAGTGTCCCTTGCGGCTCCAACATCTCTTTATCTATTAGAGGAATTTCTTCGTCTTTTTGTTGGTCTGCCCTTTCTTCTTCCTTCTGGGTTTTGAAGGCTTCTTCTGCAGGTTGTTCCCTGATCTCAAACCCTTGGACCTCTGTCCAATCCACCACTGCAGTAGGGGCCTGTCTTGTACACTTGACCTCAAGGCCTTGTATCCTCTTCTCCCACTCAGCCTCCTTTGCTTGGAAGGAGACCTGTTGAGCCTGTAAGTAGGCCCTCAGGACGTCATTGACCTTGTTAAGGGTCTGGTTGACTTGCCTGACGGCCTCGTTCTCTGCCCAAACCTTCTCCATATCTGCTTTCACTGCCTCCACCTCTTTGCTCTGTCTTCCCAATTCCTTCTTCAACTCTTCAATCTCTCTTTCCCATTCCACTCTTTGGCTATATACTTTATGTGCCACCTTTGTCAACCTCTCTCCAACTTTTTGATCTGAAGCTCTGGCTGTTGCAAAGCCTTCCTTCATCACGCCCCTCAGGTTGAGTAGGTCTGTAGAGACCAGCTTGACCCCCATCTCCTGATGATGCCCTCCAGATCTCCCTGGAGCGTCCATCAACTTGTCAAAGTTGACCCATACCTCTGAGAATAGGGGAAGGTCCTCTTCCTGAGTGCAAGTGCCCTTTCCACTCTTGTCCTCCACTTCCTCAAACTTTTTTCCCTGCTGCATCCTCTCATGCAGCTCAACAAGGTTCTTCATCCTGAGTTGAACCTTGATCTCCTGATCCCTTGCCACTCTCTCTTTCCTGTCCAGTTCCTTCTCCTGGGCAGACTGTTCCTCCTTGTGCTCCTGCACATGTGGCTCATGAGACCTGTCTGGCTCTATGTCTAGCATTGGACAATCCATTTCCATCTGAGCAGGTTGTGGAGGCACCCTTGGACCACCTGACCCTCCTGCTCTCTCGTGCCTATGGGTTCTGTGCTCCTTCCTCCTGTCCTCCCGTTGAGTCCCTGAAGACATACCCTGCTCAAAAGTCCTTCTTTCAGCCGCCTCTGGTTCCCTCCTTCTCTTTTCCAGACTCCCTCTTCCACTTGCCCGGCGTGCTGGAGTATAGTAGTTCCACAACAACTTCTTGCACTGTCCCCAGCTCATAGTCGGCGCCACAATAGATCTGACGAAGGGTCTGATGTGGCGTCTCACATACAGGAGGAAGCTCCCCATCCTCTGCTCTCCTGAGATATCCAGCTTCTTTGCATACCAGTCATAGGCCCATAGGAACTCCCCCAGGTTAGTGGAGTCAAATCGAATGGGCTGTCCATCTCTCCCCACTGGTGATGGGTGCAAACCCTCCATCTTCCTCTCAAAGTCCTGCCACGTTAGTGACTTCCTGACAAGGTTGGCAATGGGGTCTGTCCACTTGCCTGTGCCTCGCACCTCTCTCAACATCCTGGTGCCATCCCATCCAAACTCCCTCGTATGCCTCTCGAACTCAATCAGGAACAACTCAATGTTCCCTCCCTAGAAAACTGGAGGCCTGTCCTCTCTCCTGGTCCCCATCTGCGCCCTCTGTCTGGTCGCCCCCTGAGGGTTTTCCACTGGCTCTGCCCCTCCCCTCCCTCTTGGCATGGCTGCCCCAAGCGGTGTCAGGCTTGCACAACAAGGAGGAGACAAACAGGTGCACACAGAGGGTAAGCAGGTTGGATACACACAACAGAAGACAGACATAGCCCTCCCACAACTATCCTAGCTATCTGTCTATCTACATATACATACATACATACACGAGTCTAATCAAGAAGTCACAACTTGTCACGCTATTCTACTAAGATACACCTATACATTCTGCTTATACTAATGTTTCTATATAAAGTACTCAGAGAGTGACTGTAAATGGTGAGATCCATGCTCACCTCGTCTCGAGCAACAAACTTCTTTAGTCTCGAGCCTGACACCCAGTTTTTCCATGCCGTCCCATTCAACTCCTCAATCTGGTAAGCACCATGTTCACCACATCTGGTAACCCTGTATGATCCCAACCACCTCTTGTCTAGCTTCCGTGACCACAACTTCTCCAGCGATGAGTCATATAACAACACAATATCTCCCACCTTGAGGGGTTCTTTCCTTACCCTCGCCATCTTATCCCACCTGTACTTGTCTTGGGTACGGTTGGCCGCCACCCTACTCGCTGCTCCCTCAATTTTGTCCTCTATAGCGCCAATCTGACGTGCCCTTAAGTCAAGCAGCTCTTCAAACGTCAGATCAGTCTCGAGGTCCTGCCGCCTCCAGGTCTTTAGGAAACTTTCGATAGGGAACGTTGCATGCCTGCCATACCATAACGTCGCCGGTGCGTAGCCGGTGCTTCTCCTGACAGTGATATTATCAACGAGGAAAGCGACCCTTAGAAAACTCAGCCACTGATTGGGCCTGCCATCAGTCCACTTGGCGAGAATATTCGTGATGGTGTTATGCCCTTTTTCCACCGGTGCATTAGCTTGAGGGTGCGCCGCAGTAGTATATTCGACGATTACCCCATACCTCTTCAAAAGAGTCTTTATTTCCGCACAGATGAACTCAGACCCTCTATCCATCACGAACCTAAAGACAAAGGGGTAGCGAAGATAATATTCTTCGATGCATCGGGCCAGCGTTTCCCCAATCTTCGTGCGAATGCCCCGGCCATCCACAAATCCAGAGAGGTTGTCCCGCGCATCAAAGATAAAGTTGTAACTCCCTATCCCCAGCGGCATTGCCAACAAATCGAGGTGCACGACTGCTCCAACTTCACGAACGTATCTTGGGTGCAGCGGCTCTCTAGGTCTAAGAGAGGATCGCTCCTGGCATGGTACGCAAGATTTACAGTAATCATCAATCATTTGTCCCATGTCATCCCAGTAGTACAGTTCGTGTATCTTCAGATATGTCGTATCTGTACTTCTGTAGCCACCCGCCGTACCATCGTGCAGTGCCGCCATAACGTCAATCTGGCGAGCAACGCCGCAGACTACTCTTCTGGGAGTCTTCCCTTTGCTTCTCATGAATATATAGTCATCCCTTACTAGAAAGCTTGGCCTCATCTTCAGAACTCTCGCGCAAGCTTCCTTTTCCCTCATCTCACACGACAGAAGCATTCTGAGTTCAAGGTATGCTCCTTCATATTCCTCTGCTCGAAATGATTCCTTAATCTCTCCTTCTTCAAAGTCATTATATTCCCTCTCGTGGATCACATTGTCACCTTCTTCCTGGTCTACCACCTCTTCCTGATCTAGCACCGTATTCCTGACCGCCTCTTCCTGAAGCAGCACATTCGCCAATAAATACATCCCACCTATCACTTTCTCGTGCTTACCCACCTGCAGCGCCCCGTCCTCAATCGTGAGCAAGTCCTCATGTAGCTGGTATTTGTCTGCTAAAGCCAACTCCATCATCCAATCCACGCCTGTCATTCCCCAAGAGTCTTCTTCAATATAGGGCTTGAGGACTAGGTCTGGTCGTCGTACATGTCCTGGCGGCGCAAGCCACACAGGTCGCCCAGAAGTAACATAGTTACCCACGGCCAATGACCAGGAGTTGATGTGAAGCCTCACATCCTCCTCACTGTCCAGGAACCCGTCAACTGGTGGAGCATCCTCGATTACTCCTTGGTTGTTTTTGTCCCAGTCGACTCGACTCAACCCGTCCGCTCTGTTCTTGTTCCCCGGAATTCGCTCAAACTCGAAGTCTAACATCTAGATGTACGTTAGCCACCTGGTGACAGTCGGATCCGACGGAGCGAAATTCTTGAGAGACCCATCTAGAGCAGTTGGGTCCACCCTCAGTACAAACCTGCTGCTGAAGAGGTAGTTCCTGAAAATCCTTAAACAGTGAAGAACTGCTAAGGTTTCGCGCTTAAACTGAAAGTAGTTCCTCTCAGTTGTATTAAGCGTCCGACTCTCAAACCTTAGCAGTCGCTCTTCTCCATTGGGATCTCGTTGAATCAACACACCTCCTATTGCAGTTGACCCCGCGTCCGTTTCAACAATGAAAGGTCTGGTCATCACCGCTGCATGATCTGGTACCCCCAGTACTAAACCTCCTTCCTCAAATTCTTTCTCCAGACCTTCTATTACTGATTCTTGCCTATCTCCCCACTCCAAATCTTGGCCCTGACGCACAAGCTTCCGCAACTGCTCAGTCTTCGCCGCAAACCCCTTTATGAAGATCTTCCAAAATCCGCATGTTCTCAGGAAGCTCCTTACTTCTGTGATAGTCTCGAATAGGGTTGGTCATTCGAGGATCTTGTTGGTCTTCTTAGTATCTGGCCGACGACCCCTCTCGTCGCACACAAATCCTAAGATAGTGGTTCCGCTCATGCAGTGCCTTGACTTCGGCCCACTGGCGGTGAGGTTATGCTCCTTCAGTAGGTCCAGGACCTTGCATAAGTCTTGCACATAATCCCAGACAAAACGCCTAATTCCCGGCATCACCTCCTGCTCATCCTTCTCCTTAGGCCCTTTCACGGCCAAATCATCAATATAAGGCTGCGTAATGTGAGGACTTATGCGCTGCATCACCCTCCCCATGTGCCTCTGGACCATGGCAACCGCATTCGTCCACCCTTGCGGTGTAACGTTCATATGGATCAGCCCTCGAGGGGTATGCATAACCGTCATGGGTCTGTCAGATGGGTATACAGGAAATTGGTCGTAACCTGAATATAAATCTCTGAGAGATATAATGACTCTCCCAGCGCAGACTTCTGAAAGCGCATCAGCGTTGGGGAGACCACCCGCGTCTCTCACTGTTACAGCGTTCAGGCGCTGCAAGTCCCATACCCACCTCAAGGTCCCATTGGGCTTGACAAAGCAAAACCATGGGGATGCATACGGTCCACTCGAGTAGTCTGCCACATGTGTGCGGATTTTTCCATCAAGGTATTTAACTACCTTCTCTTCATGAGCTGGATTAGGATACCGCGCACCTCGCAAGTTCCATGGCTCGTGAGGCACGGTGTGTATCCTGATCATCGGGATTATATCCAAGTCCAGACGACCTCTCTCATCATCACTGAAGGCATACGCAGCGTGCCTTTCTCTTATGGTTTCCACTATAAGCTTCTCTTCTTGCGCTGTAAGGAAGTCAGACTCTCCTATAATCAGCGCCTTCTCTGTCTCAGGGGTTATACGGCACGGCCCATTCTCTGCGTTTTCTCGCATCTGCCATATCAACTCTCGCTCCCGCTCGTAGTAAACTTCTTGCTCCTCGGCCACGAGTACGGGAACAGGGCGACACTTCTGATCTACCATTTTGTACCGCCTTTGTGCCCTCTGCTTGAGCCCACCCCTAAAAAAAGTCGAGTTGCGCTTTGGGGTTGTGCTCCACTTGCTCCACCTATCCTTCTTGGCGTCCGATATATCAACTCCATTTCGCCGGCTCCCATCTGTTCCACCACCTTTTCTCTCAAGGCTTCCACAGCCTTTGGATCCGCCATCCCATAGGTCGATACTATGTCCATAGCATCACCTATATTCGCTAGGTTAAGGGTCAGTGCCTCTGACCCTCTTTCTTCTTCAATCCTGCTGCCTTCCAATCTCAAACTCTCCTCTTCTGATTCTTCAATCGTGAAAGAACCAGGGTTGGGCCGGTTCCTTATACTCCTAGGTCATGTGTTCTTGCAAGTTATAACCTCATAGTTTTCACATACTGGATCACACAGAACGAGGAACATAGTTCCGTCATGCTTGTTGAGTATGATGGTCTCCGTCCGACTTCGGAACGACCTGCCCAATAGAATAGGGTAGTCAAGATCAGGCATTACGAAAAAACAACTTCTTACTTTCACTTTTCCTATCTCTAGGATCACCGATGAGGTGGTCCCTATGAACACTGATTGACTGTTCGCTCCCATCGGGACCCCATTATCAGAGCGGTCTATCTCCATCCCTAGGCGCAAAGCATGCTTCTCCTTTACTAGGTTCATCTCCGCGCCACTATCCACCATCGTCGTACAAGTCTTCCCCCTTACTACAACATCTAGGCACCCACATGCAACGGACTTCCAATCCATCTTTGTACCTGTTTCAGCCCACTTCGCCTCTTTAAGGATTATGGTCCCTAATCTCACACTGGCCACCATTTTCCTGGATAGTCGCGCTTTCAACTCATCCCTGAGCCTTGGTGCCGAAGCCAGGACGTCCTTTAGGTTCATAAGGTGGTTATGAACTTCAAGGATCCTGTCCATGATCCCCTCTACGTCAAACCCTTCCTCCACTCGAACAGCGTACTTCTTTTTCTTTACCTCCGTGGCCTTGTCCGTGTCGGGTTTGGCGCCTCTCTTTTAAGCCCTTTGCTCAGCCTTCTCGTCCTCTTCTTTTCTCAGCCTATCGTCCTCATCATCCTCTTCCTCTGGAACATCCACCACCTCTTTCTCCCCACTGGGCTCAAGAGCATCCTTTGCCGACTCCTCGGGGCTCACTGGCCCCTTGACCCTCGTTCTGACAGCATGCGGTGCTCTCCCCGTCCTAGAGGGTGGCCTATACGTCATGCCGCATCGAGGCGCCGGTTCTGAAGTCGTGACGCCTGGTAAGTTCCCAGACCCACCTTGCAACCCTGGACCCATATCGTAGAGGTACACCAGCGGCTCCTTGCCTCTCCACTCCTCAACCTTCGTACACATATCGGTTAGTTTCTGCTGGTACCTTCCGACTTTAGCCACTAAGTCTTCCATCCTTTCCATCGTTTGTCGGGCTTCCCTCCAGCAGTCTTCCCCTATCTTAGCATGTCTTAGCCTGTTCCAACAGTCTTCCTCTATTTCGTCATCCGATTCCACTATGATCGGCTCTTCCTTGATGGTGCCGGCTTTCCTTCCTTGCTCCACTTCCTCGTTCTCTCCTACTTCCTCTACCCTGATGTCGCAGCGGACCTCCTTCTCCTGCCACATTTGGAACATAGTCGGAGGAGCGGGCGGTGCGCCGGCCTCGGCTCGCCGTAGGGTTTCCTTCCTTGTACCTCCAGGGATCTTTGGGTCAAGATAGTACCCAAACTTGTCATACATGTCCCCATCATAGTTGGTGCTGATTAGGCCTTCATCCTTATCGTTCCTTCGAACATGGCAGAACTTGATGGTATGACCTTTCTGCCCACAATGCCAGCAAATGGCATTCCTCCAGTCTATTATCTCCCTGCCATATATGCGTCCACCTTCCTAACTGCCCTGGCTTCCTGACGCATTCCAGTCCCCATTGCCTCCTCCTGTGGAGTTTCCACCACCATTTCCCCTCCCATTCCCTCTGCGGCCACCATTGCCTCGCCCTCGTCCCCATCCTTGATTTTGTCCACATCCACCGCCTTGGTTTCCTTGCGATCCTTGTGGGGCCGACTGCTGAGGCTGGCTTGGCTGCATACTTGGGTGGCTTACCTATTGGGACTGGGGTCCTGGACATCCGCAGGAGGCCGTACTCATTGATGCTCCGGCGCATGATCCATACGGTCCACTCATCGGCCATGGTGCGTATGAACAGTGCTGAGGTCAAGGACTGGAAGGTCCATAACTCAGCCACGGCCCATAAGGTGCTGGCGCGGCTTGACTGGGCGACTCAGGGGGTGGCATTGCTACAACTTGTGGGACCTGACCCCTTCCTGAGCCTTGCCCCCCTTGAGTCAAATTCTTCGCCTTTCTCTGGGCCTTTGTTAACTTTTGAGGCTCGGGATCTTCTTCTTCTTCTTCTTCTTCTTCTTCTTTTTTTTGCACCGCCACCTTCTTTGCTTTCCCCTAGGCCTGCGGAGCTGCCATAGTCTTCCTTGCTGCCTTCGCCTCCTTCGCCGCATCGAGTTGGGCGACCGCATCCTCTACCATTTTCTTGAAGTTGCGCCCGTCGCTCGTTGTGGCATCCAAGGTCTTCCTCTTCTTCCTAGCCTGCCGCATTTGGAAGATGTCTACTTGATCCAACTCCCCTTCTAACACGCCTTCTTTTATGGCAGCCCAAGTCAACTTCTTCCCTGGCGCAACCTTCTTGGTTAGTGCGGAGGCCTCCCAATTCTTAAAATGCCCCAGGAAGGTTGCACACTGCTCCTCTTCTGCCAACCCTGGGACCTTTTTTGCCATTTTTTTGAATGTCATCGCGAAAGCCCCCACTGTGGAAAACTCATCCCACTGGAACATCTCTAGGTCCGTTTTGGTTAGCAGGCCATCCCCTAGCTTGAACCGCCTTTGCATCTCTGCTTTGAATTTGGCCCAATTTCCCCTTGCTCCAGCAGCCACTTTCATTATCTCGGGCCGGATCTCCCACCAGATATATTTGGGTAGGAACTTGAACTTATCTGCCTCAGGTACCTCGACTGTAACTTGTTCCAGCAGCTCCAACCACTTTGACACCCTTTCCCTTTCGAACAGGAAGATGTCAACTTTCGACACTTGTAGCCGTGCCAACTCCCTTTTCTCAAGGGCCTTGACAATGCCTTCTGGCGTAGCGGCCGGGCCCCGCTCGATTCCATCTGCGTCCGGCATCTTTACCCCCTTTTGCTAACCCAACCTTTTAAGAAGGATAACCCATCAGACAGCTTGTCAAGTTTTAGGGGACTTGTCCTAAGTCCTATCTAGTCATTCCACCTCAAGGTTCAGCCATCCACTCGACTATTAGTTATTCGACGCCTCAGACACAACCTTAAGCCGCACTCCTAATCGCTCAGTCTTATTATTATATCATATATAATCCTCTTATATAAGGCAATCCAAACCATAAACTTTTGTCGTTTTGCCTAGATCATCAGCCTGCACTTAATCTGGGTTCGTTCTTTTGAGAACCCCGCTAGGCACCCGAGATCCCCGGCAACGACGCCACCTGTCGAGCGCATCGGTCCCGCACAGGAACCCTCCCGGCCGCGTCACGCATGATTATGCAGGACTTGTTGCGGAGAGAGTTTGCCGCTCCGGCCGAGTGCGCCAGCCGTACCTCTCGCGAGCCCCTACGACAGGACAAGGTCACGCGAGGCACCGCTTACCTCCACCTGCGGGAGTTGTCACCATCCCTTAGGTGGGCGTATCCCTGCTGAGCTACTGAACCACATGCGAAAGCTTTTCGTATGCAATTGCAGAGGTAGCTCAGCCGAGGGCGTTTCTCGTTCGCTGTAGCATAGGGGGTTACGCGTGGTCGAACGCCCGAAAATCGAACCCGCACGCGAATCGACGTACTGGGGGGCTGAGGTCCCAAATGCGACTCGGCACTGGTCGACTAGGACGCATCACACACACCACGCGTTACACCACAACACTCACATCTACTCATACACAACACATGGAAACACACAAAACAAACACAACATCACAACACTCCTAGTCCCTTCAGTATCCGACCCATAACGTTATGCCGCGAGAATCAGATGGGTTTCGCGTGCTGATTTTTCGTATAAGAGTCGTGCGCGCACATGGCCTCCTCATATCGACCAGCCATGCAGGCATTCGCAGGCATTCGCGCTGATGGCGTACCATGTAGTACTCGTACCTGCGCGGCCCTTGACAATCTCGAGCGTCGTGCTCGACACTTAAGTGTCGGCTGACAAGCGCGTTGAGGGGTTACCTTCTCGGCGCTAGATAACCGCCATGCACGGTTGAAGACCACACACTCTTCTGCACCCTGTGTAGAGGGATTGAGTAGACAACTTCAGGGTTGTCGTGGTAGCCAACATCAAGGGGTTTGACTTTGACGGCTACCACGGACGATAACGTCCAACCATGAAAACTTAAAGGAGGAAACAACTGCAGATAGTCTGATAGTCGTTCCAAAGGGAAGGGGTAGGCCAACGCGAAAGATGCGTGCGGGTGATGCCCAAACTCAGACTCATAGGCGACCCGATGTTAAAAGCGTTGGGGGCTCGTACGCGGATCCCCATAGGCCAACTAGGACTGATACCCTCGCCTCAGTACGTCGATTCACGTGCGGGTTCGATTTTCGGACGTTCGACCGCGCGTAACCCCCTATGCTACAGCGAACAAGAAACGCCCTCGGTTGTGCCACCTCTGCAATTGCATACGAAAATCTTTCGCATGTGGTTTAGTAGCTCGGCAGGGATACGCCCACCTAAGGGATGGTAACAACTCCCGCAGGTGGAGTTAAGCTGTGCCTGGCGTGACCCTGTTCTGTCGTAGGGGCTCGCGAGAGGTACGGCTGGCGCACTCGGCCGGAACCACAAACGCTCTCCGCAACAAGTCGTGCATAATCCTGCGAGACGCGGCCGGGAGGGTTCCCGTGCGGAACTGATGCGCTCGATAACGTGCGAGGGAAAGAGAGAGAGACAAAAAAAGAGGAAAAGAAAGGGATAGAGAACCGTCCGCGTGTGTTCGATATATATATATATATATATATATATATATATATATATATATATATATATATATATATATATATCGATACGCATTGTCAAACCGAGCTGCCCTGCGCTATGCTGGATAGGGCGCATGGTGGTCTTTTGGGTCCACATGGCATCTTTGTAAGGGGATCGAGGTTGTGAGTGATACAAGAGATATATCTGGTGCTTGAGGCGGACGACATTGGCTGATATCCATTCTTACTTCGGGGAGTTGTTGACTTCACCAGCCGCATTGTAGATAGGCTAAATATGATCTCTCATTCGTAGTCTGAGCGTTGAGCGCCAGATAGGACGTCGTCATTCGCTTTTTATTGATGATGATGGGACTACTCCGACATTGTCACTTATGAGCTATTGTTGTGTGCTTATTTGGTGGAATTCGTGTAGCAACTCTGCTTCTGGTTCAACGTCATCTGGTCTCACGGGTATAATGTTGTTTGATTTCTGATGTTCAATATCACTCGTTTCCTTGCAAGTATAATAATAATAATAATTTTTATTATTATTACTATCTGCAATCTGACTCGCTTTCCTTCTTACTTCACATGCATGCAACAAGTGGCAGCACCATATCAGCAATCTAGGCAGATGGCAGCGCCACATCAGCAATGTCTGCCGCACGGTACAGAAAGCGCCGGCATGCTGCCACAACCGTGTGGTCGCCGCAGTGCCTGCGCCTGACCAGTGTTAAGCCTGCGCATCGAAAGTGTTCAGCAAGCATCAAGCCAACGTCAAACCAACATAACAAGACTCAATGTTGATTACCTGGAGGTTAGGTCTTATATAGTGTTAACCCAATAGACCTGCCTCCAGTCTCCCACCCACGGTGGCTCAGATTAGTAGACAGCCAGCAGCCTCGTTTCCATACAATTGCAAACTTCCACTTTGTCTGAATGCTATCTTGGTGCCTGCATACGAAAGTACGAACGTCTGACCGGCGGTTTGGGCCGGGCCCGTTGTAGCGGCCGTACCCAGCAGGACTTTCGAGCCTGGGTCGACCCCACTACGGGTCCCATTTGGCTCGACCCGTCCGCGCTCACGCTCAGGGCGCGGGTCGTTCGTCCCAGGGGCACCCCCACCTAGTGCTATGAGAGGGATGGGGATGGGCCATTTGCGAGAGGGCTTTACATTGGGGGATGTAGCTCCGCTCTCGCGTTTAGATGGTAGCTTTTTGATCACTCGTGGCGTTTTCTCGATTCATTTAGGTCTGACCAGGCAATTGCTCCTTCCAATACGCAAGCAGTACAGGGAGTTTATTGGAAATTCGTCTTCGTTCGTGTGTAGACCAAGCGTCATCCATTGGGCCACACACCTTTTCACTAAGTCTAGTAGCTCAAGACAACCCCTACAGCATCCTCGGGGTGGGGTGGCATCGCTCAGACCCCTGGCCGCTATATTTTTTTGCTTGAGCCACTAGCATTGCATTCACCTATCCAAGACTGCCCTTAGTCCTTCCGGGCTTGCATTGCATTCAAGCGAGCCATTGCATTCAATCATCATACAATGTCACATCCCATGGTCTATCGTGCACCCATGGTCTAGCGTGCACTCAAGCTCTCAACCATCAAGTCTTTCCCACATCCATAGTCCATGCAAAGCTCAAGTCCTTCCCTTGTCGGTTCTCCGACGGATCCAGTCCCGCTAAAGACTCATCTCAAGCTACTCACCTGCGCAACACCACACAAAACACGGTTCAAATAGAATCCTCGTTGGGGTCAACACACCGCCCCTTCCCTTAAGCCTAAGTTTCCTTTGCCTTCAATGATCCTTTGGTTATCTTTCCCTTTCCTGAAGCAAACCATGCATTTACCTTAGTCATGTAGTCAGGGAAGATGGTTGAGTCAAACTGACCTTATGACAAAAATTCACTCTTTCCCGTTTCCTCGGATTCTTACAAAAGTCCGGTACCTTCTCCTTCTTGGTGGCACAAGGGACCGGCAACCCTCCCCTTGCCCTCGCTTTCCACCAAGTGAGGATCAAGTTCTTTGTCGTTCGTTCCCTGACAATGTAACAGGTGAGGGAAGAGGTTAGTCACATGCCATGGAGGGGAAGGGGTGAGAAGGGTAAGGGTTAGGCGCATAGGGGGTGGAGGAAGAAGAAGGAGAGAGAGAGAGAGAGAGAGAGAGAGAGAGAGAGAGAGAGAGAGA